TTTTATTTTTTTTTTATTATTTTATTTTATTTTTATTTTATTTTATTTTTATTTTATTTTATTATTTTATTTTATTATTTATTTATTTATTTATTTGACAGAGCGAGAGAGCACAGGAGGAACAGCAGAGGGAGAGAGAGAAGCCAGCTACCCGCTAAGCAGGGAGCCCGAGGTGGGGCTCGATCCCAGCACCCTGGGATCATGACCTGAGCTGAAGGCAGACGCTTAACCTGCTGAGCCACCCAGGCGCCCTAAGCTTTATTCTTATATTCCACTCGTTTTTAATTTTGTCAGTAATAGATTACTTTGAAAAATTCACATACCTTTAAAATTTAGGGATCTTACGGACTTTCTGAAACTCAGCTGTGAACTCCCAAGTTTCAGGATGCCTATTCTATACTGTGATACTTGCCATGTGTCTGTATAGTTTAAGTTGAGGCATGTTCCTGGATGATTTCTTAATTTTCATTTTAAATGGAAGATGGGGATGTGGCCAACTTTCCCTTGTATGTTGCTGCTATTTCCCGAGAGCAGTATATTTTTGTTTTTCAAACTGTCGATTAAAATTTATTAGTGGAGCAAGAAGTCCATTTAGTGGACATAATGAGCCTTTTAAAAAAAGAATGTACCCAAAAAATAAATAAGTAAAAAGAAAAAAATAATGTATCACATATGGTAAGGATAAGTTTCATTTTATGAAACTTTTGGTTCATGTATGTGTGTGTTATGTGGGCACATGTGCACACACTAGGTAGTGATATAAAATAAAATGTATATCTCAACTGTGTGACTGCTCTGGAGTTGTTTGTGCCCGTTAGGTATTAGGTATTAGGGTGGTTCAGCAAACCGCAAGCTGTTTTACAGCGTCTGTATCTGAGATTGGACTCTTGTAAACTCATAGAGACCCAACCTTATGTTGAATTGTTCATCACTCACTACATTGAAATATTCTTCAGAGTATTCTTCTAAAATGTCAGAAAATGACATTTTAATTTGCTTTGTTGAAATCTGGTTCTTCCTACTAAGAGTTAATGTGTGATTTTCCAATTATTGCTTCTTTCTGAACCTGTGAGAATTTGTTTTTACTTTGTATTTAGCTAATACAAAGCAATTAGAAAAAAGTTTGAAAGGGAAAGTCCATTCTCACCCTAAGGAACAGATGGCAGATCAGAGCTGGGTCCAGGATAGGGGAGCTGTATGTAGCTTTACATTTTTACCCTAGGTCTTAAGTATGGCTTCATTTGCATTGATATATATTTTTTTAAACTAGAAGTAATCTTTATTCCAATAAGTACAAAGTATTCTAAAGCCAAGTAAGTATAAATGGTTTCAGTTGTGTGTTTCTTATATTCTTTGAAATACGAAAGTAATCAAGTGTTCATTATTTATATCAACTACCCAGCTTCTTGAAGGAGGGAGTTGATAGACTTAGAGCTTAATTTACAGTAACTAGTAGTTTGATTAGGATAGGCTCTATAATTACCTAAAATTGAATTGATTTTTAGACAATTGTGTATTTGCTCTTTCCTTTTTGCAGCACATTAATGCAACCCTGGACCTGATCGAGGGCAGTATGACTGTGTGTACAACAAAGAAGACTTTTGATCCATATATCATCATTAGGGCCAGAGACCTAATAAAACTTTTAGCAAGGAGTGTTTCATTTGAACAGGTAAATTTAGAATTACAAAATTTGCTTTATTTGCATCAACATTAGAGATGACATATAGCACTGCATCCCTCCCTCTTAGAGTTTTCATTTTTCTGCTTCGATTTCATTAGCCTGGGCCTTGAAAATAAATGCATTTGTAAAGAATATTGATGGAATATTTTCTTCATTTTTCCAAAAGGCAGTACGAATTCTTCAGGATGATGTTGCATGTGACATCATTAAAATAGGTTCTTTAGTAAGAAATAAAGAAAGATTTGTAAAAAGAAGACAGCGTCTCATTGGTCCCAAAGGATCTACATTGAAGGTACTTTTTTATCAGTGGAAAACTTAAGTGTCTTCCTCTGTCATTAGTTTTTCAGTGTACTGAATTTCAACTTACTGTTCTTTTGATATAGGCTCTGGAACTCTTAACAAACTGTTATATTATGGTTCAGGGAAACACAGTTTCAGTCATTGGACCTTTTAGTGGCTTAAAAGAGGTGAGTACTGTTTACTATCTTCTGTTAATTTTCAGCAGAGAACAAATTAAGTAATTTGGTTATAATAGTTCATTGGATGATATACTGTTTTGCAATTATTATTTTTTTTAGAATGTGCTTTTTTTGATTTCCCATTGGTAAATACTTTGTGCTTCGTGTTGTTTGAGGGAATCGTCACTCCTAGATCCTAACATATTATGGCCAACCTTTAGCAACTAAAGAAGTATCTGTTTCCGAACTAGAAGGTCTACACATCATCCCTCTTTCCACTACAAATTTTAAGTGGGTTTTTAAGATTTTAGTCTGTAGCACATTTGGGAAATATGTAGTTACATGTGCTCAAGTGATGAGAGAATTAAATGGTGATAATTATCATTTGCAGTAACCTGTATCAACCAGTAGAGGTCAGATTCTGAAACCATCTTTAAAATATATATTTTTGTCTGAGTATTAGTGGAATGTTTAATATATTGATGAACTTTTTTATCTGTCACATTTAATGTTATGAGAAAATCTGTAGAGCAGTTTTGGTTTCTGTTAACTGCTTTGGTTGTCTGGATCTGGCAATGAGGTCTTGTTCCCTTTCCAGGACCTATAATAGCAGATCTGTTAGACCTCTTTCTCATAAGTTAAATGCCCTTTTCTCATGTGGCAATAATAACTTAAGTATATTGAATACCCTATAGTTTTGTGAAGTCTAACTATATTATCTTATTTAGTTTTCACAGCAGAGCCTTGAGATAGTTTTATTTCCATACTACAAATGAGAAATCTGGAACAGGACTTTACCTTACGAAGTGGCATTCCCATTATTTGAGCACCTATTTTCTGACTCTAAATCTAGCTGCCTTCTCCCTAAATTCCACAGTTCCAAAATGTTGTTGTATTAGTTCTATATGTTATATTTTAGCAGTAAAGTTGAGAAACTTCATTGCGTCCAAGAGAGGTTGATTCTTACGAAAGATCTAGAAGTCACTCAAAGCAGTTGAAGGAACTACTATATTCAATTTGGTAGTCATTGCTCGGTTCATAGGATATGTTGCAGTATATTAATCCCCTTCCACTTAGTTAATTAAAATCTTTTTAAGTGACTAATTCATTTTTCTTTGCAAATTTCAGGTTCGAAAAGTAGTCCTAGATACTATGAAGAATATTCATCCAATTTATAACATTAAAGTGAGTTTATATTACTGTAACAGTGGTTGTCAGACTTCTTTTAGCTACAGAAACCTTTCTTGAAATTAAATCTTTTATGGAAGGCTAATGCAAAAAACAGATAAAGCAGAAGTATTTAGGGTAAATTAGAGGTAGAGTTCAGCCCATCAACTCTACCCTAGTCCTGTAGTTACATCCTTGGAGACTTAGGTTTCTGTGGTGTGCGGTCTGAAAACTATTGAAGGGGGATCCTGTGATGTATGACATAGTTCTAATAAAAAGGAAGTAAGTTTCATAGAGTTGGTTGTAGATGATAACAATCAAGTTTTCTTGGTTGATGGGCCTATTACTATATTTAAAGATGTGATCTTTCAGAATTCTGCCTTTTTCTAGTAAGTAGAGTCTGGGATATTTCAGATTGTATTAAAACTTTTTTTTTTATTTAACGCTCAAATTATAAACTTTGAGAGAGATGCTAATCCCTGTGTGCATAGCATTCATGATTATACTTGGAAATATAACCATGCTGTAATGAGCTATTTTGTGAGGGGTATTTGTTGTTTTTTTTTTAAAGATTTTATTTATTTATTTGAGAGAGAGAGAGAATGAGAGATAGAAAGCACGAGAGGGAAGAGGGTCCGAGGGAGAAGCAGATTCCCTGCTGAGCAGGGAGCCCGATGCGGGACTCGATCCCGGGACTCCAGGATCATGACCTGAGCCGAAGGCAGTCGCTCAACCAACTGAGCCACCCAGGCGCCCTGTGAGGGGTATTTGTTAAGCAGTCCACCTAAATTTGATGAAGTTATGAAGTCACTCTTAGATTGGGGTGAAAGAATGATTTTGAGTTGCCTTGGGACATTAAAGATAAAGAGAGCTTGTCTTGCATCTGATGACTGGTTTGCATCCTTTGATGTCCCAATGTGTGCAAAACTCAAATGGAGTAGGAGAAATATGAGAATATTGTTTTTATCTGATCAAGAGAAAGTTTACTTTTTTCTTTCCCTGTGGTAATTAAAGTACTACCAAAAACTTCCTGCTTTCAGGGAACATTGCTAATTAAGAACTCTCCTCCTATTAAGTTGAATTTTAAAGGTTTTAATGAACTAATGGTTGAAAAGCTGAATTAGTCTCATCTCAGTTTATTTCAACAGTTCTGCCTTTCTTTTTTTTTTGAAAGGGGGTAGGAGCGAAGCAGCGGGAGAGGGAGAAGCAAGGTCCTTGCTGAGCAGGGAGCCCAACTTGGGGCTCGATCCTGAGTCCTGGGATCATGATCTGAGCCAAAGGCAAACACTTAACTGACAGCACCCAGGCACCTAACAGTTCTGCATTTAATCTAAATTTCTAATGGTTTTCTGATGCTTGGTTTGAGATTACTTTTTTTTATGGAATTTTTTGCTCCTACTGAGGAGATTAAGAACTACTCGGAGTTTTTTGTTTTGTTTTTTTATTTTATTTGCTTATTTTTTTAATTAAAAAAAAATTTTTTTTAATTTGTTCAACAGAGACAGTGAGAGAGGGAACACAACAGGGGGCCTGGAGAGGGAGAAGCAGGCTCCCTGCCCATCAGGGAACCCGATGTGGGGCTTGATCCCAGGACGCTGGGATCATGACCCGAGCTGAAGGCGGATGCTCAAGACTGAGCCACCCAGGCGCCCCTTGTTTTGTTTTTTAAAGATTTTATTTATTGATTTGACAGAGAACAAACAAGCAGGGGGAGCTGCAGGCAGAGGGAAAAACAGGTTCCCCGCTGAGCAGGGAGCCCAGCCCGATGTAGGGCTCAGTCCCAGGACCCTGGGATCATGACCTGAGCTGTGGGCAGACGCTTAACCAACTGAGCCAGCCAGGTGCCCCAAGAACTACTCATTTTAATAGAATTATTTATAGGAACAATATTTGTAACGTCTTAGTTTGATAAATGCGTGGCTTATAAAATTAAAAATTCTTACTTTGTTCATATATCCCCATGACTAAAGACCTTAATGATTAAACGAGAGTTGGCAAAAGATTCTGAATTAAGATCACAAAGTTGGGAAAGATTTTTGCCACAGTTTAAGCACAAGAATGTGAATAAACGCAAGGAACCAAAGAAAAAAACTGTCAAGAAAGAGTACACACCATTCCCACCACCACAGCCAGAAAGTCAGGTCAGTATTAAATGTTGAATTTCTTTACATGAGGGGGAAACCATTTTAATCTATTTTGTCAGAAACTTTATGGAGAGTAATTTAGGTAGACTTTATATGTGTGTGTCCAGGTATAAGAAACTAAAGGTAAGTGTAAATAGGCTTATTTTGAGCTCAGTGTGTGAACGTGGAGGGTGGGGGCTTCACAGTAGAAGTGTAAACTATGTCTAGGTGGTTGCTGTCAGTTGTGCCCCTGTAGCCACAATACCTGTTCCATGGATTAAAAAAAAAAAAATTAACGGTTTAACCCTTAATGCTCTCACTCTGCTTTAGCATCTTTCCTGTGACCATGTGCTATTTGACTGCTCCAGTTTTGAAATCTTAAATTCACATCCATCCTTTTTCTAAGTTATGAATGCCTCTCATTTTATCACCTGTTTTCTGGCTTCATTTTTTCCCCCAAATTTCCTTTTCTCTCTTGTCCATCACTGTTTTCTTGTATGCTGCCTTTTCCTTCTTTTCACACCTGTCCAGCAAAACTCTCAAACTTGATCAGTCCTAAAATTTGGCTTCTTTCCCATAATGTGGCCACTAAATATAGCTGGAGAACATCTTATCTTTGGACTAAATCCACTATAATTTCACATTTCCAACCTCGGGTAGATCCTCACTGTTGTCTAGTAATTATGTGTGTCCTCTTAATTCTCTCTCTTTGTCTTTTTTTTTTTGAGATTTTATTTATTTGACAGAGAGAGAGAGAGAGCACAAGCAGGGGGAGGTGCAGGCAGAGGGAGAGGGGGAAGCAGACTGCCCGCTGAGCAGGGAGCCCAAGGGAATGATGACCTGAGTGGAAGGCATACGCTTAACCCACTCAGCCACCGAGGCACCCCCGTCCTCTGAATTCCTGAAGCATCCTCTCTCTCCTAACAGATGACATTCATTGTATTTTATGGAAATATTTAAGACCATCAAGTGAGAATTCTTTCAGCTTCCTTTTCTCTCACCTATAATTTTTTTTCCATCTGAACCAATTCTTTCTTTACCTGTTCTTTGAGTTCTATCTTGGCCTGTCTCCTGAGGGATCTTATTTCATGATTCCCTCCCTTGGCTGTATCTTAAAGTTTTTCCTTTCTACTAGTGCTTTGTTCTTAGCACGTGAACACATCTCTTTCTGTGTACTGTCTTGTCTTTTCCACAGCCCTGTATTTGGAGTTTGAATTTCCCAGAGGTTTGATGAAAGGTCAGAGGGGAAAAAAATAATGATCATGGTGATAAAACAATGGAAGTGTTGGTTCATGATGTCTGTTCTGTAAAGGGAAGCAAACAAAGGAACTGTTTGTTGGGGGAAAGTAGAGTGACCTTATTTACCCAACTGTCATTCCATAACAGCTGGTACACTTCTTACGGCCCTGTCCTGTAGTCAGTAATTGTCTTCTCTTTCTTCCCTGTGGCTAAGCTTCTTAAAACAGTGATGTCTCAGCTGACTTACTCTGCCTCTTACTTGCTTCGTGACTGGCATTTTATTTAACCCATCCATGCTTCAGTTTCCCTATACATAAAATGGGGATAATAAAAACATCTTTTTCAAAGGATTGTTAATGAGGATTAAATGATTAGTAATTGTAAAGAGCTTAGTAACTACTAAGAGTTTTAAAAACATTGCCTTAGATATAATAATGCTGTGTAAGTGTGAGATAAGTCAATTATATATTGAATGAATAAGCTAATGCTTTCTCTAATTAGTATTGAATTAGTCACCAAATCCTAACAATTCTTGCCTTTCATTTTGCATGCCATTACTTTATTCCAAGCGTTTATCCCTTCTTTCTTCTGTACCTTTTAAATGCTGCTTTGGTCTCTTTCTTTTCTCTCAGAAACCTGCAGTCATTTCTAAATCATAGCCTACCATCTCCCCTGGATTCAGGTTTCTTCAAGCTTACCCCAGATTATCTTTCTAGTTTCCTCACACCTTTCTGAATCATTGATTTTCTAGCCCATCTAAAACTGCCTGCTGTATATTTCATGAACACATCACCTTTCCTACCTCCATGCTTATTGCTTGTATTCCCTTCAGCGTAGAGCACATCTCCTTTTTGTGTCAGTGCCTTTATGAATTGATCATTGATTTTTGACCTCACTGTCTTTACCTCAAGGACATTGTGCCTTTCTTAGGGATGACTTCTCATTTACCTTATTTCTGATGTAATTGTAAATACTGATTTCAACAGATTGATAAAGAATTGGCTAGTGGTGAATATTTTCTGAAGGCAAGTCAAAAGAAGCGACAGAAAATGGAAGCCATAAAGGTAAGACTCTGTCTAGCTCACAACATTGATAGCACAGTTCATAGAAATTTTAATTCCTGTTTAATGATAAATTGTGTTATTAATGTATTTCTTATTAATAATGCAGGCTAAACAAGCAGAAGCTCTTAGTAAGAGACAAGAAGAAAGAAACAAAGCTTTTATTCCACCTAAGGAAAAACCAGTTGTGAAACCAAAGGAAGGTAAATGCTTGTTTTCCAATTATTGGTTTGATGTTAAAGTCTGTTAGCTGAAAAGTAAATCCATAGGGAATTTGTCTGAATCTCTTTGAGTGTTAACTAAAGGCATAACTATATCTTTCATCAAGTCTGTTGACATTTCATTAATCACTAATCCTAGGGATGAGACCACTGAGGTGTTCTATAATTTATTAGCAGCTAATGCCTATTTAAGAATGTCCTGGATTGACAGTCCTCTCCTGACCTCTGATTGTGCTGGAGAAGGACTCTTTGGGGGTTTTTTTTGTTTTGTTTTGTTTAAGATTTTATTTATTTATTTGTCAGAGAGAGAGCACAAGCAGGGGGAGCGGCAGGCAGAGGGAGAGGCAGACTCCCTGCTGGAGAAGGACTCTCTGTTGTGAAAGCTATGAACTTAGAGCAGTGAATCTTCTATAGATTTAAAAGTAACTGAAGCAGTGAGATCCCCGAGCTTTGTTATCATGCCTCTCAGAAAGAGCTTATCAGAGGTTATGCTTTTCTTCTCTTTACTTATGTGATCCGTGGCTTAAAGTTTGATTCCTATATTGTTATGATGGATTTCTGATCACCGTGGGCTAAAGGACACCATCAAAATAACAAGATCTTAGGAGCTATGAAAAAGTCAGAGTGGGGCACCTGGGTGGCTCAGCTGGATAAGCGGCCGGCTCTTGGTTTTGGCTCAGGTCATGATCTCAGGGTCCTGGGATCAAGCCCCACATCAGGCTTTGTGCTCAGCGAGGAGTTCACTAGAGGATTTTCTCTTTCCCTCTGCCCTTCCCTCCTTGATGCTCTAAGATTCAAAACAAAACAAAACAAAACAAAAGTTTTGTATCTTTTCTATTCCTAGCCTCATTTGATCTACCCTTTCCTCTTCTGCATTTTCTTTCCCACTAGTAACACTTGTACTGTTCCTGAAGTAAATTTCCAGAGTCGCCAGTGACACAGTGAGGGGAGGGAAGTCACTGGCATTATTGTACCTGACTTACTGGTCAAAACCAGACATAACATCCTATATTAATTACATCAGTGTTAATAGCTCTAAAAATACTGTATTCTTCTATGTAGATCACTGGTTATGTAAAAGTTAAAAATGTCATAAGCATTATAATTTCCAGTTTGCTGAGCCTGTGAGTTTTACTATGAAGGTCGTTTAGTAGCCATTTTAATCTCCATTTATAATGCTTAAAAATGTAGCGATTTCATGATAGTGAAGGCTCTACATCTCTACGCAAGTTGCTGGGAAGTTGATGATGTTTTAACTTGTGCTTCTCCTATGCTCTGAATACCGCTCTTTAAATGGTGAGAAAAACCTACATTTTTTTTTCCTCCTTCTTTTTCTTTGTTGTTCAAGCTTTTGGCATTGATTCCATGGTTGGGTTCTGTTAGGAGAATCTCCAAATACTCTTAGATCATTATCTTTATTACCAAAACCTTGTTAAATAAAGTGCTACTAGTCATTCATTGAACTAATATTTGGAAAACTTTATTTTTAAGTTGTTTTTTTTTTTAAGATTTTATTTATTCATTTGAGAGAGAGAGCATGAACAGGGGGAGGGGCAGAGGGAGAGGGAGAAGCAGACTCATCAGCAGGGAGCCCGATGTGGGGCTTGACCCCAGGACCCTGAGATCATGACCCAAGCCAAAGGCAGACACATAACGGACTAAGCCACCCAGGTGCCCCTATTTTTTTAAGTTTTTATGTGTGTTATTAGATGAAGTAGATTTTGACCTAAAGCTTAATGATTAGTTAATTAAAATTATGGAAACTAGAAGGGCTACATGTTAATACTCTTCATGAAATGTAATTTTAAGTTATATTAATGTGCAGAATGGAAAATTGGCATTTTAATGAGTACTCTTGCAGTTCTAAAATATGGGAAAGAATATAAGTAAAATTAATCTCAAATGCAATTTAAGGGGAAAAATGAAGTTTTAATATTGTTGAATTCAGTAATTAGTTTAAAAAGCTAAACTATAGTGCCATTTTCATGTGTACCTTTATTCGTGTGCCAATTTCATGTTTACTTTCACTAATGTATTTTTAAAGTACTTTATGATTTGTTTTCTCTTCAATGTCTAACTTTCCTTTAGGCAGTTCTATATTTTAGGCAGGTGTTTTATATTTTACAACATGACCTTTCACCTGTTAACAGTACTCTGAAATTATTGTACCAAATACATATTCTTTGTTTTCTATGGTAAATTCTAAAGAATTACATATATTGTTTTAATTTGTTTAGCTTCTACTGAAAATAAAATTGATGTGGCTGCCATCAAGGAAAAGGTTAAGAAAGCCAAGAATAAGAAACTGGGAGCTCTTTCAGCTGAAGAAGTTAAGCTTAAAATGGAAGCAGATGAAAAAAAAAAGAAGAAAAAAAAGTAACATTTAAAAAAAAAAAACCCTGGATGAGAACCCTTTTTAAGCTATCTCCTTTCGTAAAGGATTTTGAGGTATGAGGGCATTAGTAGCCTATACGTGAGAAGGAATACTCTGATCACATTTTTCTGAGTTTGTCATTCTTCAAAACAGTGTTTATATAAACAGCTGTCCTTTATAAATATAAATTATTGTATTCTCTGTGTGTTTTTTGGAAAACTTTATGCTAGAAAGTGCTATGTATGTCTTTGTATATATTGCACCTAATCTGTTTTGGCGTGTTTTGCCTAAGCATGATTTTAGATGTAATTTTTAGGTTGTTTATATAAAGATTTTTGGAATGTGGCTATTGTAATTATCCATCAAATCCAGTGTTTGATGCCACTGGTTAGTCTTTAAATATAATCATGTCCCACCATTTGGTTTTGAGCAAAATAAATGCAGATTTTGCAGTGCTCTCTCTGTTGCTAACGAGTAAACATTTAGGCTTATTTCTTTTTATAATCTCATTCTATATTATGTTTAAGATTAAACAACCCATAAGCAAAAAAAGCAAGGCCCCTTAAATCCCTTAATTACTATTCTGAGTCTGGGAAAATGATAAACCAAAGACCTCAGATTGCAAGGTGGCGGGGGGCGGTGGGGAGGGGGGGGACCAGATGTTTAGAATTGAAGCAGCATGCAACAAGTTACGTAGAAATGTTTTTACTAATGAGGGTCAGTGGAGTTATTTAGAATCACTTAAATTTAACACATTCATTTTGTAGTTTTAGAAGCTGAGACACACAGAGGCTGGGTTACTTACTGAAAGTCACAGCTGTGGCAGGCTGAAAACAATGCTTACTCATAGAAAAGTGGAAAGTAAACATGAGTTTATTGTAGAGATAGGAAGTTGAACAGCTTTTTTATTAAGGGTTTACTGCAACAACGTATATTTTTCTGAAATGTTTTAAAATTAGAATTAAGAAATATATCTGTTAATTTTTAAAAAAACACATCTGAATGAATTGTGTTTTTTTGTGGATTATATTAGTTCAAAAGAACTAAATGAGGGTATTTGTGTTTGACCCAAATGATCATTATAGCACTCAGTATTAGGATTGGTGGACTAACAGTGAGAAAGAGAGATAGGTATCTGTTGCGTGAAGATATTAGCCAGTCAGGATACACAATAGAGTGGTAACCTGTGAAACAAACATAAAATATCTTCTTAAATGTTGTTTCTCAGAATGTAATAATATAATTCACATAGATCTTAATGGAACAATGAAAGATATAGGTACATACCTGTGACTTTGTCTCGCTTTGGATTAGCTGTAAAGTCAGAAGAAGAAAAAAATATGTACTGCTGAGGCTTTATTTTATTTTAAAAAGCCAAGTCTCTAATTATGACCATTAACTGTTGCTTTCACTTTCTTAGTGTTTTTCAAACATTAGTTATTAAAGAATTTTTGTACTAACTATACTAACTTGATATTTTTAAATTAACCTTATAAACTTTTTATATACTATTACTATAAGTGGAAAATAATTTTACATACCATAACTAGCAGATAATAAATACAATTAAAATAACAAACTATTAGAATTTAAGAATTAAATAATTATTAGTCACTGTGAGCAATTTATTAAAATATTTTCCTGGAAATAAGTTCCTCCCTGAGAAGAATGATACTGTTTTATGATCAGTCAGTAATAAAGAGACCATGACCTCTCTCTTATAGGGATTTGGTTTGCATAATGTCATAATTATCCCTCTCTTTTCACTGAGTTTTATTCGGATTTTGACATTCCGAACACTAGGTAGAAAATTCTACATCTGCCTTAGCCTTCTTGATACTTTTTTAATTAAATAGGTACCTTTTCTACACCAGTTCTTTGCCAGCTGGTGTTGAAATCTGTGGCGCAGCCCAGCAAGGACATGGCTGGGGTGCTGGTGAGCATGCCTGATCATCATCCCTGTGAGGGGGCTTTGTAGTGAGTTACCAGGAAGCTGCTGCTACTTTGTTTTGGGCAGTTAATGCCATGAAATCAAGAATATGCTGTGCTAGTTAGATTTTTTTCTTACATAGTACATTTTTTAAATGTTAAATATTCAACTCTTGAATACTGAAACAAATGTACATTCATGCACTAGCTAAAATCATCCCATGTATCATTAGCATACCCAGCACATTATGCAAAACCATCCTGATTTGGCCTCCATGGGTATTTATTGAACCTGCCAATAGTAAGTACCTAAAGCACCAGAAAGAATTTTTTTCCTCCAATATTTGTCATAATTTGTCAGAGATGGAATCTGTTAAAAGCTCTTTACCCTCATACACATTAGCATGTTTGCCCTTTATTTTTCTTAAGGGCCCAGGGGCTTTTCATTATTGGATCACAGCCTTCATTTTCTGAATTTTTATCCCACAAGACTAGAGGCCATTTCAAGCTAGTTCCCAAGATCAAAATTTAAAATTCCAGGAACTTTCTTCTTGTCATTGTGAAGTTGTTGTTACTAATTATCTAGATTTCTAAAGAGAAGGAATATTTTTTTAAGGAAACATGCCTTCAAATTAGTGCTTATTTGCCAGGCTAGGGTATAAGTGAATTAGGCATAATTCCTACCTGTTTGGTATTTAGAATCCATTGGGAAAGATAGCTAACCAGTGGCAATAATTGAATTACTCCTTAAATAATTTAAAATAATTGTCTCAGTTTTCACCACAGATTTTAAAGAAACATGAGGTTTGTTCGTGGGCATAAAAACGTGACAGAGTTTGGGCATAAAACACCAAGAGTAAACTCAACATTTGGGAGTACAGGAAGGATGAATTTATGGATAATAGGTAGTATTTATTGAGTGCTACTGTATGCCAGGTTCTTGTTCTAAATATAAATATTTCTTTTTCTTTTCTCCTTGATCTGTTTCATCAAACCTGTGAAGAGATACTGCCATCTACATTTTATTTTTGTTTTTGTTTTTTAATATTTTTATTTTTAATTTTTTAAAATTTTACTGTTAATCACCATACATTAAGTGATTAGTTTTTGTTGTAGTGTTCCATGATTCATCGTTTGCATATAACACCCAGTGCTCCATTCACTCTGTGCCCTCTTTAATACCCGTCACCGGGCTAACCCATCCCCTCACCCCCCCCACCTCTAGAACCCTCAGTTTGTTTCCAGAGTCCATAGTCTTTCATGGCTCATCTCCCCCTCCAGTTTCCGCCTCAGTGGAATATTATGCAGCCATCAAAAAAAACCCCAAGAAATGAAATCTTGCCATTTGCAACAACGTGGATGGAACTAGAGGGTATTATGCCAAGTGGAATAAATCAATCAGATAAAGACATGTATCAAGATCTCACTGACAGGAGGAATTCTTAATCTCAGGAAACAAACAGGGTTGCTGGAGTGGTGGGGGGCGGGAGGCATGGGGTGGCTGGGTGATAGACACTGGGGAGGGTATGTGCTATGGTGAGCACTGTGAATTGTGTAAGACCGATGAATCAGACCTGTACCTCTGAAACAAATAATACATTATATGTTTTTTAAAAAAAAGATGGGGGGCGCCATCTACATTTTATTGTTGAGGAAATTGGTTCAGACAGTTGCCCAAGGTCACAGTGGTGGAACTGGAAATTGAACCTGGGCATACTGTTTCAAAAATGTGTGGGTTTTAACTCCTATGTTATACTGGCTAACTTGGAAAAAAAAAATAATACGCTTTGTAGTATTGTAGCAACATGAAAAATTCAGTTAATACATTGATGCTAGGAGAAGAAATTCATTGCTACATGTTACTGAGTTCCTTTAACAAAACTGCTGTGAGCGAAGTGAATGGTCAAACTAGGGGAGAAATGACTGCTCAGAGAGCTGATCAAAAAAGTGTGGCTGTACCTGAAGTGAAGATGAGAAATCAGTGTTTACAAATCAGGAGTTTTTTTGATCTTGCTGAAATGAGCAAATCTTGGGTCTACAGTTTCTGTCCTCATAGTCATTTTTTGTTGTACTGATTAAAGCTAAAAAGAAGGATATTATTTGCTTCCTTAAATTTACCTTAAATATATGTTCATTCCCATGACAGTAAGCCATTGGCTTGATTGCTACCTGACACCAGCTTCCCTGAAAATAGCTGTTAGGATAAAGCAAACATTTGCATTCTTAACTCTGCAGAGAAAGTTGTTTCAAACACATTGTATTATTGGTAGATTTTTTCTTTTACTCACTGCAGAGATTGTCCAAACATTTGTCATCACTGGGGCAGGCACTGCAAGTAGATCCTCTTCTGTATGGCCTTTGATAGCTTTGTCTATAAAGTAGAAAAAAGCTGTCCATTAGGAGAGATTACTTTTTTCCTAATGAAATTTACTGTGAATCTTTGACTAAATATATAGGATGGAAGTCCACAGATTCCGAGGGTTTTGGGAAGTGGAAGCCTGTTAATATTTATAGAGTTTTATTCTATGTGTCTATGTCTATGAACCTATGTCTTCACCTCCATCTCATTTAACTCTTAAGACAACTCTGGAAGTTATTTTTATTTTACAAATAAGGAAACTAAAGCTCTAAGAAGTTAACTTGTCAAAAATCACAATGTATACATGTCAGAATCACAAGGAAATCTGGATTGGTCTGACTCCAGGACAACACTTGGCTCTATTTAACTATCTGGCCTATATGATCACTACCATCCAAAAAACTGCCCATCCTAAGGTCTCATGGCCCACATTTACTCTTCCCAGTTTAGCAAGCCTCCTTGGTTTTAGTTGGACAGGAGTCATTTGGCTGGGTTAAAAAAAGAAAAAAAGGAATTTCTAAATTTGTTTTCACATAAAAGATGGAATGTGGATAATAATTACTGTACTAAGCATCCTTGAATGAATGAATTTTCACAGTAGCCTATGGGGAAGATACTATTATTTATTTATCCCCAATATAGGTAGCGGTGAGGCACAGAGTGTAAGTAATTGACCAAGGTCATACACTAGAAAGTGAAATAATATCCAAGCATTTTATATCCCCATGAATATCTTCAGAGTAGTAATGATGAGAACTGTACATGCATTTCAGTAACTCTGCCAATGCACTCATCTTTTTTGGAAAGGAGTTCTTAATTTTTTGTGTCATGGTACCCTTTGGCAGTCTGGTGGAGCCTATGGGCTCTCAAAACTCTTTGTTTTTACTTTTTTTTTTTTTTTAAAGTAGCCTCCGTGCCCAGGGTGGAGCCCAATGCAGGGCTTGAACTCACAATCCTGATACAGAGACTTGAGCCGAGATCAAGAGTTGGACACAACTGGCTGAGCCACCTAGGTGCCCCAAAATAGTTTGTTTTTAAGTACATAAAATACAGTTTGTAAGATTATAAAGGAAACCAAGTAAGTTCAAATAGTTATCAAAATGTTAAAAATATTTTTGATATAGCAATATGTCCTTCTCAAGTATTAAGATCTAGCAAGAATTCTAATGATAGTACCTTTCATGATAGATTATAACCATATTTTGAGATCTCTGCAGCAAATGGAATGTGCTATGAGAATATCTGATATTTACAAAGATAGAAGTAGTACTAACACGGAGTTACAGTATTGTTGATGGGGCTGAAGTGTTGTCTTCATACATAATGAAATGTTATTTTCAGTAGAGGTTAGTGAAAATAAAGATTTAACTCCAAGTTCATTGACTCAACTCCCCTCCCCTAACACTATAGCTTTACCTCCAAAGTTAAGGAGACATTACTTTTTATTAACACCTCGTTTCCAAGACCTATGTTCTAATCATGTTTGGCTCCAAACTAATCTAGGTTGTTTCAGAAAATAAGTTTATCCTCATACTTGCTTTACACTGTGGAAAATAGTCAAAGGAATGTTCTGATAATTAGACCTCCAAAATACACATTAATTATGGGGATATCTTTCATCGTTAGAAAGCACAAAACTCATTGAGTGGTCAAGTTCTCGGATGTTTTTTTAATAAAATCGTTTGTGCTGTTTCATTCTTTGTTGAATTGTGTATTCCAAACTATAAAGAGAAGAAATTACTGTTTCAAAACCAGGCTAAAGACAAGGCAGTTACGAATTCTAGGGAAATGGCAGAATTCATCCCGTGAGAAATGCGCTACTGGAAAGGCCTGCATTTGTCTGGATAGGAACAATTGAGACCAAGAGTCCTAAAGTATTCTGTCCATAAAGAAGCAGGAAATTTTAGTGTTTTCCCTGGTAGCCTGAGAAAGGGCCCCAGGACTGAGGAAGAGAAAAGACAGATTTTTTTTTTTTTTAAAGTAATCTCTTTGTCCAACATGGGGCTCAAACTCACAACCCTGAGATCAAGAGTCGAAAGGTTACTGACTGAGCCAGCCAGGCACCCTGAGAAAAGGTAGATCTTTAAAGAAAAAGATAAATATGAGGAAGGGTCCTTAAGGCAGAGCACACTAGGTCTTGTAGGATCTGATGGTCAGGGTTGTCATTTCCTCTAACGTGCTATAATCCTCTCTTCCACTAATCACAAGATAGCCTAGCTCAGAGGGGCCCAGGAGAATGAAGGGAGAGTTGTGGCTACGTTTAAAAAATGCAGATCAGAATGATCTGAAGCGGCCAGGAGGAGGAGTCAAAACTGTCCTGGACAATGACTGACTCCAGAGCTTGAGTTACAGGTGACAAGAGAATTAAGCATCCTTACCCCACTCTTAGGAAATCTCAGAAATATGGGGAGGATACTGGACTTCTTAGAATTATGTGGAATGGGGGCCTATGAGGAGAAAAACCAGCTCAGAAGGCAGTAGAAAATGAGGACATCCTTAACTGGTCTCTGTGCCCCCCACCCCATACCCTCCAATCCATTTTCCACATCTCATACAGAATTGATCTCTCAATTTAAAGCAGGTCTTGTCACTCCCTTGCTTAAAATACTTGGAGGATTCCTCTTGTGATGTGAATGCAGTTAAATTTGCCATGACCTACACAGCCCTGCAAGGCTGAGCTGCCTCCTTCCCCCAGTCGCATCTCATTCAGTGGTCCACGCACTCTGCTCTTCTGTCCGCTCTTGAATCCTCTCCACAGAAACTTTGCAGGTGTTTTCTGCAGCCGACCTGTTCGTGAAGTTCTTCACATGTCTGGTTCCTTTCTATTCTTCATGCCTACACTCAAGTACATCACTTTATCCAAGTAAGGTCCTGCCTATTGATAGTGTCGATTACAGTGTTACTGGTATTTCCTTCATTATTCCTTTCATCATGCTGTTATTTTATTTGTATTTTTATTGTCTTTCTGCCCATAAATACAAATTCCATGAGAGCGGGGACTGTGTCAGGCTGGTTCTCCTTTGAAGCTCAGTAAACAAATATTTTTTGAATAATTGAATGTATGAATTATTTGTATGAATAAATGAATGTTACTCTATATAAGTATTATAACTGGTTTTAAGTTTTACAACTTATTGTTTAGAACTCTAAAAGCAAGTAAAGTGAGTGTAAGCCAGGAGACTTCACATTTGTGCCTCATCATAACAATAACTGTGAGTACTTCTCAAATAATCACCATTGCTGGGTATTACATATACCTGGTGTTTTACCTAGCTTTTCTCATGTAGTTTTCTTTTTCTTTTAATTTTTTTAAAGATTTTTTTAATTTATTTGACAGAGAGAGACACAGCAAGAGAGGGAACACAAGCAGGGGGAGTGGGAGAGGGAGAAGCAGGCTTCCCGCGGAGCAGGGAGCCCGATGCGGGGCTCGATCCCAGGACCCTGGGATCATGACCTGAGCTGAAGGCAGACGCTTAACTACTGAGCCCCCCGGGCGCCCCTCTCATGTAATTTTCATAGCTACTTGATAATTAGTCAGTGCTTTTATTTTCCTGATCTTTTGCAGAGCAAACTGAGGTTCAGAGAGATTAAGTAACTTGTCCAAGGTCACACATAAGTGAACCAAGGTAGTGGGTCTCAAGACCCCGTATCTCAACCATTAAGTTATATAAATGTCATGAAAAGTCACCACTGATTGGCTTGATGGCTTTGGCTGGTTTTTCCTGGGTTTTCCCTATTTTCTGACTTTGGGATTTTAAGTCAAAGTTGTTCTCTTCTGAATGACACCTGATTTTAGTCCTTACACTCCCACCTACACTCAAACTATCAAATATTTCTTCTGAGCGTTACTTCAGGGAAAGAGAGAGGCGTCTAACAAATCTTTTGGAATCCCAAAGATTGGAAAAATCCAAACAAAATTCAAGGGAAACAAAAAAAATGTTGGGGCGCCTGAGTGGCTCAGTCAGTTGGGCATCTGCCTTCGGCCCACGCCATGATCCCAGGGTCCCGGAATTGAGCCCCGCATCGGGCTCCCTGCTCCGGGAGGAGCCTGCTTCTCCCTCTCCCCTGCCTGCCGCTCCCCCTGCTTGTGTGAGCTCTCTCTCTCTCTGTCAAATAAATAAATAAAATCTTAAAAAAAAATAATAAATGTTATGTATATGAGAAAGGGTTAAAAGCTTTAAAATACAAACAACTACCATAAACTATTAAGAAAATCACTCTAGTAGAAAAATGAGCAGACCGTATGCTTCACAAAAGGAGGAATGTAAATAGGCAATCAGGTGAAAATGTATAATCGCTGGTAGTCTAAGAGATGCAAAAGAAAATATGAGATAACACTTTATATCAGATTGGAAAATATTAAAAAATGATAATCCCAGTCCTAATGAAGGAGTATAAATTGGTATAAATAATAGTGGAGGATAATTTGGCCATATGCATTTTCAAAAACTTAAAGATGTTCACATGTATTACTTAGTATGCTATTTCTAGGAATTGTAGGGAAATCGATGGGATCAAAGACTTCTATACAAGGTTGTTCATCAGATATTAAAATACAGAGAACAATTTAAATTCTTCAGTAGGATGAGCTGTTGTGTCCGTCTAGAGCACAGACTCGGGAGCCAGACAGCCCAGGTTACAGTCCAGCTATGACATAGTGACATGTGAAATAGTGTCACCAATGGTGGAACCCTGGGCAGGCTACTCACCCTGTCAGTACCTCAGTTTTCTTAACTGCCAAACAGGGGTGGTAAGACGACCCATCTCAAGACCTTTCATGAAAATTAAGTAAGTTAATATGTGTGAAGCATTTAGAAAAGTGCTTAGCGGGGTGGCTCCGATGGTTAAGTGACCGACTCTGGTTTCAGCTCAGGTCTTGATCTCCTGGGTCTCAGGATAGAGCACCATGTAGGGCTCCGTGCTCAGCGTGAAGTCTGCGTGAGATTCTCTCCCTCTGCCCCCCCACCCAGCTCAAGTGTGCGTTCCCTCTCTTTCTCTCTCTCTCAAATAAAAAAGTCTTTAAAAAAATGCTTAGCATATAGTAAGCATTTTATAAGTATTACTCATTTTTTATGGTGAAAAAAATGTATGTTTAGATTTAACCAATTGGACTCAGTTTAGATGATCCCCAATTTTTTTTTTTTAAAGATTTTATTTATTTGAGAGAGAGAGAGCATGCCAGAGAGCACAAGTGGGGAGGAGTGGCAGAGGGAGAGGGAGAAGCAGACTCCCCGCTGAGCAGGGAGCCCCACATGAGGCTCGATCTCAGGGCCCTGGGATCATGATCTGAGCTGAAAGCAGACGCTTAACTGACTGAGCCAACTGGAAGCCCTAGATGTAACCAATTCTGTTGGCAACATCCAACACATCATGGTCAGGAGCCACTCGAACATATGCCTTCTTCTCTCCATCAGGCCTGATCAGGATGTTGACCTTGGCCATGTCCAAGTCATAGAACTTTTTATTATTATTATTATTATTATGTTAATCACCATACATTACATCATTAGTTTTTGATGTAGTGTACCATGATTCACTGTTTGCGTATAACGCCCAGTGCTCCATGCAGAACGTGCCCTCTTTAACACCCATCACCAGGCTAACCCATCCCCCCACCCAAAGTCATAGAGCTTTTTCACAGCCTGTTTGATCTGGTGTTTGTTGGCCTTGACATCCACAGTGAACACAAGTGTGTTGTTGTCTTCTGCTTTTATCAAGGCTGACTCGTTAAGTCAGGGGGAACTTGATGATGGCATAGTGGTCAAGCTTGTTTCTCCTGGGGGCGCTCTTTTGAAGATATTTGGGCTGCCTTTGGAGACGCAGTGTCTTGGGCCATCAGAAAGTAGGTGATGTGTGGATCTTCTTTTTTTGGTGACTGTGGACACCTATCAACACTGCCTTCTTGCCTTCAAAGCCTTGGCTTTGGCTTTGGGAGAGGCAAAGGTTTCCTTCACCTTCAACACCATCTTTGTGAAAGGGTACTTTCATTATTTTTCTAATTATTCATATGTTTAAAAATTCAATGACATGGAAAATGCTCATGGTATAATTTTAAGTAAAAAAATAGAATATGTGCATTTCCAGTATGATCTTATTTTCTCAATAACGTGTATGATGCATAAACACACATATATGTTTAAAGAAAGGCGGGGGCATGTCATGGGTCTACCCTATTTTCTAAAGAAAGAAAAACTGTATCCATTTCAAAACCAAAACTTTCAAAAGTAAATGAAATAAATTACATAAATTGAGAAATTTAATTGAGTTACTTTTTTTGAAAATTGTGCAAAATATGCCAAGTTTTTAAAAAATCAATAAATATAAAGTAACACCAGTCCTCCCATTTTGTGGTGTTATTACCATTTCCCATTAATCTATGTCCCTGAAAACATTTTAGTCTTGCCACTCTTAAAAACACGTGCTGTGTATGTATGTGTGTATTTGTGTAGCACTTGTAAAGGGTGCAAACACACACACACACATTAAAAAAAAAATGTACCAGGTGTTAATGGAGTAGATCTCTGGGTAGAGGAATTAATAGTGATATTAATTTTCTTTTTTACACTTTCTTTATTATCCCAATTTTCTATAATGAAAATAAATACTTCTAAAGTAGATTTAAAAGAAGTTTAGAAAGAGTTTGATTTGGGTACTTACCCTGGTCCGTAGTTGCATATGAAATGCGCTACATTGGTTAAGCTGTTAATGTTGTAAACTGTGGAGCAATACTGTACTGCACAGCCAACTTTGTAACTGTCTGCCCAGACAACCTGAAAGAAAATAAGAATTTGCAGCAAGAGAGAGAGACAATAGGGGCGCCTGGGTGGCTCAGTCGTTAAGCGTCTGCCTTCAGCTCAGGTCATGATCCCAGGGTCCTGGGATCGAGCCCCGCATCGGGCTCCCTGCTCGGCGGGAAGCCTGCTTCTCCCTCTCCCACTCCCCCTGCCTGTGTTCCCTCTCTCGCTGTGTCTCTTTCTGTCAAATAAATGAATAAAATCTTTTAAAAAAAAAAGAGAAAGAGAGACAATAAAATGAACATTTGAGTATGATTAGGCCAACACAGTGAGGTGTATTCACTCTAGCAGGGAGAGCCATTGCTACCAGGGAGCACTCAGGTGCTCAGAATTCAGTTGGAAACAAGACTTGGAATTTTATTATTGGGGTGTGTGTGAAATAAACATATACACAATACTAAGATCATTTTGGGCACTTGACATAAAATAGTGAGTGTTGGGGAAGAGGGGCTGAGCCTGGGTGTCCAGAGAAGGGGCCATGGAGGAGGTGCACTGGGGATGAATGTGTAGGAGACCCAAATGTGGGAGGAAGAGCCTTCCGTGCCGAGGGAGCAGAGGCGTGGAGGCCCCACGGTGGAACCGGCTTGTGAGAGTGGCAGAGAGAGGGCCAGCGGAACTGGGATCCAGGTAATAGAGTCGTTCGCATTGAGTTAAGAGCCAGAGGGGCAGGTCGCGGGGAATCTGGTAGGCAAGTGAGCATAGACTCTTTTTCCCATCTCAGATCTCTTTGGTTGTTACGAAGTCAGTGGACTGAGGAGAGCAAAGGAAGAAAGATGGAGGGCATTTGAGAGGCTGTTTCAGTGGTACAACAAAGATGGTGGCCCACACTTGGGTGGTGGTGGCCCGTTCCTGGGAATCCATCAGGTTCATGGTTCAGCTTCTAGCTAAAGCTGAAAGGACTTGCTTTTGCTTTTAGTGTGGGGCAAGTGGGAACATTTGGGGCCTGAGTAACACTTCCTGAGATTAGGAAACGGAGGGAAGGAGGAGGGAGGGTGGGAGCATGGACAGGGGTTCTGTTTAGGTCTGGTGACCCTTGAGATGTCCAAGCGTGGAGTGACTTTGCTGCTGAAAGGGGACCATCTACAGGGGACAGAGCAAGGCTAGAGATAGAAATCTGGAAGACGCGGGGCTAGATTAGATCGTAGGCAAAGATAATAGATAAACAAGGAAATGAGAGCATGGGATCAAGAGAAAAAGACAATCAACCAGCAAAGGAGATTGAACAGGAGTGTGGGGCGGCCTCAGGGAGAGGGGCCTGTGCCGTCGCACAGGCCGGGGCGGGGGGCTCCGTACTTAGTTTAGTTCAACATTGTCACATGTTTTCCCACATTTAGTGGCACTTTCCCCCCAGTTTTTGAACAAGGAACTTTACATTTTCCTTTTGCGCGAAGCCCCACAAATTAGACAGCTCATCTTAACCAAGAGTGTCTGAAGTCACAGAAGCCTAAAGAAAAAAAACATTTTTAAAGAGCTGGTGTCTAGAGAGAAGCCAGCGATCAAATGCACCCCTTTTTACAGTGAGACCAAATTGCATATTAAATTACTTTTACATATTTTTTTTCAAAAGTAATTTTGTGACAAGAATTGAGCCCAGTATGGGGGATACAGAGGTGAAAGACCCGGAGCCAGTGGGTGCCTTTACAAAATGTAGAGAAAAGCTGCCGTGGGGCCTTTATGCAAGGGTTTGACTGTGGTGCGGGGGAGCCGAGGCGGCTAAGGGAGCGCGCAGCGTGGGAGCCTGCTGTGCCTTAGTGAGGCTGGGCCGAAGCCCAGGGAGCTGGTCTAAGAGCCGGGAGGTCTTCCCGGTAGGGCAGCTTATGCTAACCCAAGATGAGAAAGACTCGTTGAACTGACACAAGGCTGGTGTGGCTGCAGAAAAAAGCTCAAGTTTACTTAAAAAAAAAAAAAAAAAAAATCAGTGAAAACCACGCCTCGGGGAGAGAGTATAGCGGGAGGGGAGATGTGGATCGGAGTCTGCGCTTCTGCAAGGCTTCCAGGTGGGGTCGTGGGTGGGGGAGTGGCTAGGGAGGCTGAGGGGGGGACAAAACCGCAGGTAGGGGAGCAGCTCTCTGACCTCTGTCCTCTTTGGTTTGGCAGCTGGGAGACTATGGGAAGGCAGCTGGGGCTCCCCTCCAGAGGAGGGGGCGTGCTCTCCTTCAGCAAGGGACCGGTTCCCGTCCTGATCGACGTGGGGGGTTGCCCTTTCATCTCACCCCGGAATCCCCTGCGGAGAACTGAGGCCTCTAGCTCAGGGCGAGAGCCTAGCTTTATGGCCGTGAATCCTCAGGTTTGACCCTTGTATGTATACTTTCCAATCATTTTTGCATTTATTTAAAAATTTTAAATTTCTCTTCACTGTATCTCAAGGTGATTTCACCTTGGAAGCTTTGTTTAAAATGCAGGTTTCTGGGCCCATCTCAGTCCTGCTGAATGAGAGTCACTGGAATTGTCCTGGAAATCTGTATTTTTTTTAATTGCGATATCCTTGGTAATATAACATTACATGAGTTTCAGGTGTACACCATAATGATTCAATAACTTTATACACTGTGAAATGATCACCATAATACATCTAGTTAACGTGTGTCAAGAAGAAACTCACAGGCCTAAAATGGCATGACTTATCCTAGGCCATGTCACCAAACTGGGGCCTAAGGCCTAACCTAATTGCACTTTTCTTTTCTTTTTTTTTTTTTTTTAATTTTTTTTATTTGACAGAGAGAGAGAGACACAGCGAGAGAGGGAACACAAGCAGGGGGAGTGGGAGAGGGAGAAGCAGGCTTCCCACTGAGCAGGGAGCCCGATGCGGGGCTTGATCCCAGGACCCTGGGATCATGACCTGAGCCGAAGGCAGAAGCCCAACCCACTGAGCCACCCAGGCACCCCCAGAAATGCAGTCTTAACAAATCAGTCAGGAACTTTCTGGTTAGCACCAATAAGCTAATCTGTCAAAGGGACCTCTCCATCCCCCCAAAGGAAGATGAGGTAAACCACTTAATAAGACCCTTTTCTCCCCAAAGGAAGATGACCTCACTCAAAATAATCCTTTTTTCTGTTTCTTTCTGTCCTGCCTTTTAAAACCTTTCCCTTTCTGTAGCCCTTTGGAGCTCCCCTCTACTTGCTAGATGGGGTGCTGCCTGACTCATGAATTAGTTAATAAAGCCAATTAGATCTTTAACATTACTTAGATGAATTTTTGTTATTTAACACATCCATCACCATATAGTTACAAATTATTTTTTTCTTGTGATGAGAAATTGTAAGATTTACTCTCTCAGCACCTTTCAAATATATACTACAATATTGTTAGCTATGGTCAGTCAGCAGGCTGTACATCCCAGACTTAGTTATTTTATAACTGTAAGTTTGAGCCTTTGACCACATTCACCCATTTTTTCCCCTCCACCCCACCCTAGCACCTACCAGTCTATTCTCTGTTTCTAAGAGTTTGTTTTTTGTTTAGATTCCATATAAGATGGTATTTGTCTTTCTTGGCCTGACTTCGTTCACTTAGCATAGTACTCTCCAGGTCCATCCATGTTGTTGCAAATGGCAGAATTTCTTCTTCAGGAAAATGTGTTACATATATAGAAATATTATTCAGCCATAAAAAAGAATAAAATCTATATTTTAACAAGTTCCATAGGTAATTATTATTATGCATGCTAACTGGGTGCAATGTTGTCTGTGTTTTCCTTTTACCATCACCTCGGTAAATCATTTTATATTTCTTATCCTTTGGTCTTTGAGCACTTTCTTCAGGTGTTGTTTTATCTCAAGTATTCTTAATTTTTGGGCTTCCCACACACACATCTTTAATGCTTTACGCTGTTTCTTTTGTTTTACTGTCTTTTACTTTTCTTTTCTGGTCTCTTTGTTTCCAAGGGTATGCAATGTTAATTACCATTCATTTTGTTTTAATTGGTCTCTCTCTTTTGAAAGTCAGGTTGTAATTAAGACACAGTAAAACCCATCCTTTTTAGGTGTACAGTTCCATGAATTTTGACAAAAACATAGTTGTGTAGCCACCACCATATTCACAACCTAGAACACTGTCCATCGCTCCCAGAAGTTCCCTTGTGCTCCTTTGCGGTCAGCTCTTCCCCCCATCCCCTGGCCCCTGACAATCTTTAATCTGTTTTCTGTCTCTATCATTTTGCTTTTTCCAGAATGTTACATAAATGGGATCAGTTTAAATGTAGTTTTTCCACTCTAGCTTCTTGCACACAGCATAAGCATTTGAGACCCATTCGTACTGTTGGGTTCACTTCTTTATTGCACGGATGTCCCACAGTTTATTCTACATTCAAGTTGGTCTCTTTTTAAAAAGCTTTATGAGCATTCAGGTTCTGGGTTCAACTTGTGGCCTTTGAGGCTACAAAGACGGAGTTCATATTCCAGCTTAGCCCCTCACTCTGTGACCATGACCTTAGCTTCCTTCACTATTCAGTGAGGATAACGTTCTCTACACCTTTATAACAAAAACATTGCATCTGGGGAACCTACGGGCGGGGGCATGCCTCTCCTTTGGAGCTAATGCCCCCTTCCCACCATCTTCTTTCGTCTCAGTATGAGTCCTTCTGACTCATTATCAGGCACTATTATCACGAGTATGGTGACACTGCAACATATATAAAACCAGGTAGAGAAACTGAAACATGTCCCACTTCCACTGGTTCGGTAAGGGTGTAAAATTAACGATTTCAAGAAGGTGGCAGCGCGGCAGGGATTAAAACCAAAAATGAGATCTATGGTGCCATCTGGTGGGCATTCTCAGCACTACCAAACCGAAGCTCCTGCCCCGCCCATATAATTGAAGTCAAACTATTTCCGTTTTATAAAGGCGAACTGCCGACAGCAAAATATCTAATCTTCCATACTAATATGCCAAAATTCTTACACAGTGCAAATCTATCTCTAGTGAAGACCGAGCTAAAGTGTTGATCTAATGTGTCAAGAAATACCACATCTTTATGAGTTAGTAACTGGATCTAAATCTATTGTCTTTACTCTGTACAACCATCCTTCACCAGCCAAAATCTGAAAATAACTTGCTTTTTATTAATAGCAGATGAGGATAAGTGGGGCGTTATAATATCCACTTGAGGTGATTTCCAGCAAGAATTTAAAATGGCAACTGAGGGCGCCTGGGTGGCTCAGATGGTTAAGTGTCGGCCTTTGGCTTAGGTCATGATCCCAGAGTCTGGGATCAAGTCCTGCATCGGGCTCCCTGCTGCTTGGGAGCCTGCTTCTCCCTCTGACTCTCTCTCATGAATAAATAAATAAAATCTTTAAAAAATAATAAAAAATAAAATGGCAACTGAGTAGTCTTGAATCTCCCGGTAACATTTCTTGCAGGGATGAAAACATGTTTGTTTGTTTTTTTTATTGTTTACTGGCAGTTTTATTCTTTTTTTTACATTCTTTGACTTTCTCTTTTATTTATTTATTTTTTTATTATGTTATGTTAATCACCATACATTACATCATTAGTTTTTGATGTAGTGTTCCATGATTCATTGTTTATGTATAACACCCAGTGCTCCATCCAGAATGTGCCCTCTTTAATACCCATCACCGGGCTAACCCATCCCCCACCCCCCTCCCTGAAAACATTATGTTTTAATGTAAAGTCATCTTTAACCAGACTGTCAAAATCTTCTTCCAATATAATTGGCAAAAAAAACCCCAGCTCATGAAGGAGATCTAACCTTTGTTTAATGCCTGCTAAGTACCAGCACTTTACTAGATAATTTATATAAATCCTATTATTTAATCCTCACCAGATACCTGATATCTGGATCCCAGCCCTTCCTCTTACCAGCTTTGTGACACTGGGAAAACAATTTCCTTTTCTTCTTCTTTTCTTCTTCTTCTTCTTCTTCTTCTTCTTCTTCTTCTTCTTCTTCTTCTTCTACTTCCTCTTCTTTCTTACTACTAGGCAAAGAACTTTATTAACCTTGTTTCAAACTTTATCCTGAGGCTTCTTCAGCTTAATAGCTGCAAAGAATGAATTGTGTCTAAGCGAAAACTGAAAAGAGCTACAGTGTCCAAGAGGCTTGGGCTTAAAAAATATTAGAGATCTAGATTTCATCAGATCCATGAACAAAATTTTAAAAAGCAGTCATCATATAAAATAGCAGCTCCCAGTAATAAGTTTTATCTTTTTCAGAAGATGAGTCAGGTCAGTTTGCTTCATTCTTGGAAGCCTCATCAAAATTCCACAAGATCCAGGGGCACCTGAGTGGCTCGTGGTTAAGCGTCTGCTTCCGGCTCAGGTCATGATCGCCAGGTCCTGGGATCGAGTCTCCACGTCCGGGTACCAGCTCAGTGGGGAGCCTGCTTCTCCCTCTCCCTCTGTCTCTCCCCCTGCTTGTTCTCTCTCTGTGTGTCAAATAAATAAATAAAATCTTTAAAAAAAATTCCACACGATCTGGAACTTCCTCCTCCTCCTCTCCTGTAGCAAGTGATGTTTTTCCGCCCATGGATTGTGTGGGGCCGAGCTTCAGCTCATCTTCCTGAACTAGGCAGCCTGTCTGCACCAGGTGGGTTGAAGACGCTGGGTAGCATTTCCATCAGCACGGCCTGTGATGGCGAAAGTGTTCGCTGCCAGGGACGCCTGAACTTTCCAGTTGTGAAGGTGGATCACTGTTCCTTGGTCTGTGAACGTAGTCACTTCGATCCAGAGATAGTTTACCCCCAGCTTCTTTAAGGAGACCTGAAGTTTTTTTATCATCTGCTGTAGCTGTTCTATGCACCACCTTCTTTCAGTGGGCAGTTCCTTTCCCAGCGATGCGCACGTGTGCTTGCAGTTTGGTGAGTTTCTCCTGGTTCATGATAGTTTCTTTCATCTTGGGGCAGAAATGGGACCCTGCAGGGGGATTAGGGCTGGTGCTCAGGGGCTCTCCTGCAGACCGGCTGAGGTTAGGTGCACGGAGGCAAGGACGCAAGGTCTGGGAAAACAACTTCTTCATTTCCCTGAGCCTGTTGACTCATCTATGGATGATTGCGGCTCTCTGACAGGTTCCTGGTGAGATTTGAATGAGATCTTAAACCATGGAGAGCTAAGTACCACACTTAAAAGTGGTTGCTGCGGGTTGCATTATCCCAAACGCAGGGTGTCCCTGGACTTCCTCTCCAGGATAAGGCTTGCTCTTCAGAAGTGGGAGTAGAATGTAGTGGTCTCTTAAGAGAGAACAGGTTAGGATCACTCAGCTTGGGCTCTGACACCTGTATGCAAGGAAATGAGTTTTCTCATGTCCGAAATGTTGGCCCTCCTTTTTTTGTCCTAGATGGAAGGGAAAAATCTACAAGTAAGCTCAGCTAATTTGGGGAAGGCCATCTCTGAAATCTTAGGTCTAGATGACTTAAAATCAAGTTTCCTCCTCTTGTTTTTAGTCCCTGGAATCATGGATGTGGAGCGTACTGACTTGCATGGTTTAGGAGTCTGTGTTCAATTTAACAGTCCTTTGATCTTCAGATATTTGCTGTGGTGAGCGCCTAGCCATTCTTCTGAAGTACAAGGCTCATTTGTACCCACTGTACACCTTGTTAATTTTGCCAGGAGTTCTCTTCCTTTTCCTTTTCATTTGATAAACTCTCACCTAGTTTTCAAGAACCAACTGATTTGGCTCCTGCTGTATAAACAACTCCTATGTCTCCAGACCTCCCTTTGGCCACATACGTTGCTGTGTCCTCTGTGCCCACATGGCACCTTGTCGGTATCTCCACAGTGCACCAACCGTGCGCCACATTACATCCGCTTACACACGTCTCTCCTCGGAGAAGCTCACCTCCTAAGGGTCAGGGGCCATTGCCATCTGTGTCCCTCATTCCCTGCCCCACCCCGCATTTCTCCTCACTTTGACTTCTTGGCGATTGTCCTCTTCAATAATATGGTAGGACATAAGCTACCACCCCAGGCTCTGTTTGGCAGGCATCTGCACAAAGACATGACCAGGGAGTGCCTTACAACAGTACCTCGTGCGGGGTAGAAGCTTAAACACGGACTGAATGAGAGTCAGTGCCCTCAAACTGACAATTATTTTTGGAGATTTAAACAGCACAATGTTTAATGGTACCAGGTACTACTTGTAGACAACCTGGAGTTAGCTTTCTGGCCCTCGAGAACTGGTAGGATTCTGATGGAATCAACTTTCTGGTTACAATTTTTTGTGAACATAAGCCAAGATGAATGGCTTATGGGATAAGTCTAGAGGAAACCTTATTTATATTTTCAAGAAAGGGACCAATGCTACTGGTGGTTTGATAACTCTTCCTTGCTTACAATAATCTTGAGGTGAAAATGTCACTGAAATCTTCATTCCCCTCACGTCATAATAATAAATAGCGATGCCAACCTTGTTTCACCTGTAATGAGACCAGAGGCTCTATATGGCTGAACTACATTGAGAGTTTTTCCAACAACATTTCACTCTTTAAAAACACCTGTTATTCTGGGGCGCCTGGGTGGCTCAGTCGTTAAGTGTCTGCCTCCAGCTCAGGTCCTGATCTCAGGGTCCTGGGATCGAGCCCCGCATCAGGCTCCCTGCTCGGTGGAGAGCCTGCTTCTCCCTCTCCCTCTGTCTGCCGCTCTGCCTGCTTACGCTCTCTCTCTATCTCTGTTAAATAAATAAATTTTAAAAATCTCTAAAAAAAAAAACCCTGTTATTCCAAGTTAACTACCTTGTTAGAAATGTTTTTGCCCTCATGCCTCATTTCAACACATTTTTGTACATTAGAACCATTCAGATATGGGTTCAGCACTGTAAGTTATTGGCTTGACAAAGATGCCAGGAAATAAAAGTAAATAAATGAAATGTGACTGGGGTAGGGAGGCAGCAGAGTAAGAAGACCATAGAAAATGGTCTACCTGAGGGATTTATTTCCACGTGTTGCAAACATGCATTAGGGTTAGGAAACCAAACCAGCTTCAATTAAAAAAAAAAAAAAACCCTCAATGGGAGCCTCTGAATGTGGCCACTGGGACTAAATCCTGTAGATTTGGGGGGCAGAATAGCCACAGGATGGTTTACACAAGCTTAAATGCTGGCCTCTCCACTGTCGTTTTTCTCGTCCTCGTGTGACACATGGCAGGCTCTCCGCCCACGCTCGGAGGAACGGGAGCATACGGAATTGAAGCTTCTGTCAGAGATGCTTATGTCTCCCAATTTCAGAGTCCCAAATCAAGTGCCTCCAATTCCATAGAGGACGCATCCCTGAAAATCTATTCACTCACCACATCCTCTGATGGCTCACAAATGGAATAAAGCCTCCCAGGGGGGGTTGCTGTTATCAAAACATTCAAAGTCTGTCCAGATCAGTGAGCCTCACGTTTTAGGTTTACGCACATAACTGAACTCTTCAAGCATGACCTCCCCTGCTATGGAAGTTTGCTCCATTTATTTATTTTTGAAGGAAGCTTGCAACCCCTACTCTTTCATATTTACAGGTGCACCAGCTTAACTATATACTTTCTTAACACCAGATTCCAGTTTTCTCTTTACCCTTGAAAGGATGGTTTCAAGAGAATGCAGGGCAGGGGCACCTGGGTGGCTCAGTCGTTGGGCCCAGGTCATGATCCCAGGGTCCTGGGATCGAGCCCCGCATGGGGCTCCCTGCTCTGCCGGAAGCCTGCTTCTCCCTCTCCCACTCCCCCTGCCTGTGTTCCCTCTCTCGCTGTGTCTCTCTCTACCAAATAAATAAATAAAATCTTAAAAAAAGAGAAACAGGGCAGACGCTTACTTGAGTGTAATGGCCACAGACCTTGGTGCATTTCTGAGTCTCGAAGTCATAGTCCTGAATTTCACTGTGCCAGTCAGTAATGGCTGAAGACACAGAGAATATGGATACAGACCCAGTCCAGATGTTTTCTCCCACAAAAGTGAAGTTCGGGTGCAGCTTCTTCGAGTGCAGCTGTCCATTGTGTGCAAACCGACAGTTTTTTCCCCATTCTTTTGCAATTCGGGCTAGTGCTGGATCCCACGTCTGCCAAAAAACACATTAAACCATAGGAGGGTCAAGAATGAAAACTGGATTTTGTAAAGATCTTTCAACTACAGTGAGGAAAAAGAGTTGAAGAGGGGTCAGCGCAGACACTGGAAGATGAGAAAGCTGAGGGATCAGAGGGTGACTCAGCCTCCTACCATTAATGAGAGAACAGAAAGCCCTCACACGTCACAGAACAAGAATTACACCTTTTGCACAGCCCTCAAGCCCTGTAGCTGTAAACAGGCACCACCAAATCTACGGGGAATCAGGAAAAGTTACAGGCCACTGCACACCCCTCGCTGATTAACCACATCCTGTCCCTTTAAAACCTTCATGGGCAGAAAGTGTGGAGCTGGCTTTTGGACCAGAGTCGGCCTCCTCCCCAGGTGGCCAGCCTCCTGAATGAAGCTCCTATTCCTTTCCATTTAAAAAGAATGAAAACTCTTCCCAAACAATGTAACTGGAGTGAGCAAAGTGAGAGTCTGAAAGGGAATGAGGCATGATGAGGGTAACAACTGGGATAGAGGCCTCATTCGGCTCTTCCACTATCCTGTAGGGCCAGCGGGAAACCCGATGATGGAGTTTTGTGGAATTCAGAATCTAAGTGAGGGGCACGGGTTAACATTTCACTGCGGGCCTATTATGTGCAGAATATTGTATGCTGTGTTTCACATAGTTTATATAATTTAATAAGCACAATAGGCCCTACCCTAAAGAGCCCAGACACGTTAAAAAGCTGCTCACAGCCACAAAGCTGGGACTCAAACCCAAACCTGACCGATTCAAAATTACATCCTTTCTTGAGATGCCATGCTACCTTCCTGAGAAAGCCAGTACTCTGCCAGCAGCAAAAAAAAAAAAAAAAAAAAAAGGCAAACTTAGAGACAAAATAAACAAACAACACAACCTTCAAAAATTAACAGGGAAGAAAGTGACCAAAAAAAAAAAGCAAAATCTATGACCAGAGGAAAGGAAGTATCTAAAAGAGAGAAATAAAATGTACTTGCTGAGCCTGCTTGCAAGACATGAGTCAACAGAGCTAAACCGGATTCATTTTGATTACAGATTATGAATTTACTGCACACATGAATCACGATGGAAAAAAAAGATTCCGGATTAGCAAGGATTTACCTCCCAAGTCAGTACACATTAGTTGTTTTTTACTTACTCATGCTACGAATACTGCTCTTGTCCTTACCATGTATAGCATAGCACTGGCTGTTGGATTCACCTCTGATCGGAACTTGTTATGAATCCAAACACAGTCTTTGATGAAATCTTCATTTTCGATATCTGGCAAACTGTTTGCTGTATATTCATGACTGGGAACTACAGAAACGATCCAAGCTGTCAAAGCAAGTGTGACTCGCATGCTCCGTCTGCCTGGCATGGAGCCCCGGGAGGGTGGACCCCAGAGCCACGGCTGGTCCTGACGTGTGTGCCTCTTTCAGTTTTACTTGACTTCAGCTTCGAGAAAAAAAAACAAAAAGCAGAACATGAGTTCATCACAAGTTTAAAGAAATGGGTTTCTCCATATATGGTTTTCCGCCACTTTGGGGCTTTTAACCCCATCTTTGCAGTGGTTCTCAGTAACACAGCACTTATTATAACATAAATTTTTGTGAGGCTGTATCAGACTTTCTTTTGAGTTAGGGGATATTTCCAAGGGAAATTCTAGAATCTCCAGAAATAACAGTCTCAATTTTTACGGAGGTTCTGGTGGTTAAATAAAAACATATTTCTTACTTCCATAAACGTCTTGCAAAATGCTTTTCAAAAACTTTTTAAGAGTCGTATCAGTTGGAATATCTGGCTAACATCTTAACTTTGGACATAGAATTCATTCACGTTGGTGTGTGTGTGTGTGTGTGTGTGTGTGTGTAACGAAGGGAAAGAGAGGGCAGAGAGAGAGAGAGAGAGAGAGAGAGAGAAATGGAAGAGAGAGCACTCGTCTCAATTTCACATTTTAGTTTAAGTTCTGTTCCTCACTAGCTGTAAGACCTTGGACAAGTTACCAAACTGTAATCCTCAGCTGCCTACTGAATGAGGCCAATAAAACTTTTTCTAGCCCCTTAATCAGAGAGGATTTGGGAGGGTCCAATGAACTAGCTATTAACACATATTAAATTTCTGCTCTGGGTATTCAGTTTCATAATATGAGATAAACACCGTCCTCCAGGAGTTCAGAGAAGTAGGAGCTGTGAGATGGTGGTGACAAGGACAGAGACAGTTGAAGGTCTAGGTAGAAGAAAGCACTCGGGGCTAAGGACTTACAGAGGATGCTTACCCCATCCTGGGAAGGGTCAAAATGGCTTCCTACAACAGCAGTGACATCTTTGCTGAGCTGGAATCAGACTGGTGTTGATCAAGTGAAAAAAGGGTAAGGAGGTGAAGAGAACTGGAGGGGACAGGGACCACATATCTGATGCAGGCAGGCCAGGTCCAGGTACCCAGACGGGGTCCCAAAGGACCAGCCAAGAGGGTCCTTTGCTTAGAGAAGGATGGAAATCAGACACGAGTCAGCAGGAGGTGAAAGGAGAGTTTATTGAAGATATATATATATATATACACACGTGTGTGTGTGTATGTGTGTGTGTGCATGTGTGTGTGCATGTGTGTGTTTATATCTATATAATATCTATATCTATATATATAGAGAGAGTGATGGAGCATCCAGGAAAAGAGCATGTGTCTCATCTTTGCTTGGGGTCTGGGTGTTTATTGGCAACTGTCTGGTGCATGTGTCCTCTTAGGCATCCAGGAACTGGTGAGAACCAGGATAGAGTCCAGGTGTCCTTCATAAGTCCCTCATTCCCTGAAGTCAGGGGTCTTGGCATTGAGGTGTTTGGAGTCAGTGGTCTTGGAGAACGCTTATGACAACTCCGTCCAGTCACTCCTTAGATGTTATCTGTTGTGCTGGGAGACTCCAAAGATATCATTATCTTTTTGTTCCCCCTCCTTTTTTTTTTTAAAGATTTTTATTTATTTGTCAGAGAGAGAGAGCACAAGTGGGGAGAAGCAGAAGGAGAGGGAGAAGCAGGGAGCCTGACTTGGGGCTCTATCCCAAGACCTGAGCTGAAGGCAGGCGCTTAACCGACTGAGCCGCCCAGGCTCCGCTATCTCTTTGTCCCTTACAAGGAGGACGCATGTAGGAGGACTGGGCTGGCTCAGTCTGTAACATGTGCCAACTCTTGATCTCAGGATTGTGAGTTAAAACCCCACATTGGGTGTGGAGCCTACTTAAAAAAATAATAAAGGAGGACATATGCTATTTGCATTACAAGGCATGTGTAGAGTGGGGTGCGGGTGCCAGTCCTAGCAAGAATAGAAGCTGGGAAAGAAGCAAAGGAAAAAAGCAGCTCCCCCACCCCCGTGGGATCCTTTCAGTTTCCCTGTCTCATATCCAGCTGTGAAGTTGAATGCATGAAGTCAAGGCAAGAATAGAGAAAGAGCCCCTGCACGTTGCCTCTCTCTCTCTATAGAGATGGTCTTCAATATGGCTGGTGGGAAACACGGTACCCGATCTCATGGAATTTAGAATCCAAACAGGGTTTTCATGACAAGGAGAGAGGAAAGAGTCAGATTAGGGAGAACTTCTGGATTCTGCCAGTGATTTGGATTTTATCACAAACTGAATGGGAAGTTGTAGAAGGGTATTTTAGCTGTAGTTGGGGTGTGATCTGGTTTTAGAAAACAGTGTTTTAGAAAATCAAGAGATATGGAGAATGGAATAGGCTTGGGGGGGGATTATTTTTAATGGAAATTATTTTTTCTTTTATTTTTTTTTCAAGATTTTATTTATTTATTTGTCAGAGAAAGAAAGAGAGAGCACAAGCAGGGGGAGCAGCGGAGGGAGAAGCAAGCTCCCCACGGAGCAGGGAGCCCGATGTGGGACCCGATCCCAGGACCCTGGGATCATGACCTGAGCCAAAGGCAGACGCTTAACTGACTGAGCCATTCAGGTATCCCTTTAATGGAAACTCCTAAGAGGAAACATTACAGAACTCTAAAGTGGAATTATTGCCCCCCAGTATAACCTCACAAAGCACTCATATATAATCTCAGTTGTGTCCAGGCTGCCTAATTTGTACTAGCGTTCCTTTCCAGTCTATTGACCTAAGACCCCTAGTCGAGGGCTCAGAGGCAACCTTTTGATCAAGGCAGTGATCATCAACAGTGAGACCTTCCTGCAGCTTGAGGTGGGAGGCAGGCCTGCTGCAGTTCCCACCTTCTTCTGAGTCTATGAGCTAGACTGAATTTTGAGCACCAGAACAAGAAAAATAAAACCTTGCAAACGAGGAAATTTAGTGACATTTTGTGACTGCTTGAACAATGCCCATTGTACACATACAACTTCCAAGGGTAAGCCATATTGTCTTGGTATTGTAATGAACTAATCGATATTTTTTCTCTAATTTATTGAAAATAATAAGAAAAAAGGAAAGTCTGCCATCACTGAGACCATTTTTACATTATTATGCAGAGTAAATTAGCTCCTCGGAGCTAAAACCCTCCAAGGTCCTAATTTCCACAACAAAACTTTTCCACAACAAAAGCCCACGGAAGTGGTTTACTCAGAACAGGAACTTTCAGCTAGGAGCAAATGCAAGCCTCCACTTCTTTTCAAGAAGGCTTACAACTTTGCTGAGTCTTTCCTCTCTTTACCCTGGGTCTTTGCCATGGTCTCCTTGAAAAGCAATGTATGTTAAGAAAGAGCTTTGTTTTCAGTGTTTATCTCTGAACGGCGGCAGTTTAGATTTTTTTTTTTACTTTCCTTAGTCTTTTCTGTATTATGGAAATATTTTTACAGTGAGCATATAAAATCTTTTTTAATCAGAAAGAAAAACTCAAACATTTTTATTTTGGAGAACCATGGGATCTCTATAATCATACACAAATTAACACATACTCACTGCTGATAAACCTACACATAGATAAAAGACTAAAGGCTTGTCAATGATGAGGTAGGGCTCTCTATCCCAGCATGTTTTACTCAAGAACCTTCTAAAAAAAAAAAAAACACAACAGTTTGGATAGCTGGAGATAACTGTATATATTATGAGAAAAATCTCAGCCTTGCTCTGTGGTTTTCTTGACATTTTTTTTTTTTTTTTTTTTAGATCCATGATGAACTTTCTTATTTCTTGGGGAGAAATGATGTAGAATGCCCTATATCCCCATGCCTCCCTAATTAGAATATGTAAATATTTCGGTTTCAAGAGGTGCTAGTCACTTACTACATTGAGGATGGGAGGTGGGTGGGGATGGACAAAGGGAAAGGGTCCAGAAAGGGGGAAGGAGTATAATACTAATCAACCTAACACAAACACGACATGGTTATATTGCCTGTGTGATAATAACTCACACAATAATAACTTGGTATAAACCAGTGGTATGGGTGCCCGTGTGTACAAGTTAATTCTAATCCACATCCTAGGAACCATTAGTTAACACTGAGGGACTCTAATCAGGAATCCATAGTTAAAGGTGCTCGGAGCACTTCACATACAGTTATGAAAACTGACACCCGAGAGAGTTTGTTAACTAGGGTAAGGATGTTAACAATTTCCATTGGCAAAATGAACACAATTCAAAATGGATGGTCCGTAGGAAGATTGAATCTGCCCTCCCACCATTGCATGAAGGAGGTTTAAGAGAATCAGCCAAGCACACTCTCTTACTGAGACCCCAGTCCCCTGCCCTACCTGGAGAACCTGATCCAGACTTGAGAACGGGTCTTGGGCAAGCCTCTCATACAAGTGAATGGTTGGAGCGTCTAGGGACAGAGCAGAACTGTTTTTGTAACTGCTTGCTAATGAATGATTTAGCAGAATTTGTTTAAGACTTGCTTTCATAGTAGCATAGCATCAAATATTGAGGTTGGGATGAGGAAAATAGCCTTTGCCTAACTGGGCTTCCACAGCATGAGGTTACACATGTTTACAGAAAGAACCCAACATTTGAAACCACATGAGTTTAGGCCACGTGGCAGCAGTGATGGCGAGCACCAGGCTGAGCTTGTTCATATTCATTATCTCACCGTGCTTTCACAACAGCGGTGTGAAATATACATTATTAACCTTATTTTACATATCCCAGTTTTGAGACATAAAGAAGTTAAACACCTGCAACAAGAACATTGCACTACTAAGATGGTAACATCGAGTCTGCCTGATTGCAAATCCTGTTTGCAGTTAAGAGCACAGGTTCTTTTTTTTTTCCCCCTTTATTTATTTGTCAGAGAAAAGGGCAGGCAGAGGGAGAAGCAGGCTCCCCACTGAGCAGGGAGCCCGATGTTGGACTCGATCCCTGGACCCTGGGACCGTGACCTGAGCCTAAGGCAGACGCTTAACCGACTGAGCCACCCAAGTGTCCCCAAGCACAAGTTCTTTAAACAATCTAGGTTCAGATCAGGTCCTATGCACTGGCTGTAGAACTGAGCCTTTTACTTCTCTGTGCCTTGGCTTCTCTATCTTTAAAATGGGAGAG